ATATATATAAGAAAATGCACACATATCATAATATATGCTATAGTAATATACTCACAAACACTCATAGCCACACTCACGCACCTAAAAGCACATACAAGAAAACAAACACAAATTCGCAAAAGTAAAAGAAAAAAAAATATTTTTTGCTTTGCTCACAGTCCCCAAGCCTGGAAATCACCTAACCTCAGCCACGATGACCCTGGGCTACCAGAATGGCAACAGTTTCGAAGGCACCTTCTCCTTCCCCATCAAAGAACACACCATGGGCTACTTGGCCAATTTCACCTTCAACGAGCCTTTGTCCAAGCTTGAGGTAAGTTTGTTGGGTGCTTTTTCTTCTTTTATCTTAACCTGGTTCCTTAAATAAAATTCTTTAGTTAACTTTAATCGCCGTTGAAGATATAATATGCTTTCTTAAGTGGCCCGTAAAAAGGGGTTTATTTTTGTAACAAAAATGCCCTTCTTGACTGAAAAGACTTTTAAATTTTGGAAAAGGGATACATTATTAAATCTTACATTTAATAAAGCAGAGGCTATGGGCCTTCTATGTGCAAGTCAGGATCGAAAGCAACTGTGCCGCAACCATTGCTCTCATTCTCTTGCGTTGTATGTTTGGGCATCTGATTGATTCAGAGCACTCATCATGCGAAGACCCAGCCAAGTGCTTTCCATTTTCGGGGGACATTTGATTAATACAAAACGTTTTTTCGAGGCCACAAAGAGAAACTGTGTCGATAGGGGTGTAAAACATGTCCAATCATTGCTATGTGTTTCTCCAGATATACGACGCTGCGGTTTTGACACATCTCAACGGAGGCCGCAAATGGATCATTGTTAACAAAGGCGACAGAGCAGGACCCACCCCTGGAACCACACTTGCTCTCAAGTAAGTTCGAGGTCTCCTCCATTGCTATGTCTGTCTTAAGCAGGATTTTTCCATGTCCTGACTTAGTGCCAGATATTTGCAAGTCACGAAGAAATATGTGTCGACAAGGTAGTAATTAATTGTTATGCTTCAAGATGAAACAAAACGGGACAAAAGAAAAATTGTTTGAAATGTGTCAAAGAAATATATGATGATGATGATGATGATGATGATGATGATGATGATGATGATGATGATGAT